GGTGCACGAGAGCTCCTGCGCTGGCAGGACAAGCCCAGCTCGGCGACAACAGGTGCTCGAAATGTAAGATGCTTCTCGAGGCAGTTCATGGAGGCAGCGCTGGTCAAACCCCAGGCACCCGCAGGGAGTGGCCTTTGGATGTGCCGGCAGCACTTTCCGGTAGGGGCCACCGCGGAGGACAGGCCGGTTGTCCTCTGTCCCTGCGAAACCCCGCGCCTTTATGTCCTCTAGTTTTCTCTTGAAGGGAAAAACAGAGGGCATAAAGGCGTCGGGTTTCGTATCAATAGAGGGCAGAGTAGCAAAAAACCGGCATGTCCTCTGTGATGGCCACCCTAGGGGAGACTGGTGCCGCCCGCGTCTGGGGGAGCACCAGATCACCAAGGGGGGTCCCCTAGAGACCGACGGATCGCTGAGCCCAGAATCACCAGCGGGGAAACCCGAAGTGCACTGCTGCCGGCACATCCAGTTTTGCGGCTGGCATTTCCAAGGGGTGCATGGCCAATCTCAGGGGGTGCACGTGCACCCATGTGCACCCCCTACGCCTTGCCAGTGATGGCCACCCTACTTCCTTGTGGTTTAAAATAAAGAAATGCTTCAGCTTTGATGACCCAGTTCTCACTCGCCCACTGGGCACTTAAGTGTCCTTATTTGCAGACTTTTTTTCAGTGTACGATAGCTTTTCACAAATTACGATCATTTTTAACTTCCAATATGATAATTTCATATTTAAGACCCGGCAATGCTGGAGGGCGGCTGGGCAGGCAAGCCCCCAGTGCCCGTAGGGGCAGGGCTGTGGCATGGGGAGCTGGTGCCAAGCAGCCTGCACCCTGCGCTTCCGGACCTAGGATCTGCAGCTGACTGGGTTGGGCCCTAGGGTTGTATTGCCCAGTGCTGTGTGTCACACATGGCCAGAGCAGGTGCTGAAAGGGAGAGCAAGCAGCATATGAGCAAGGGGGGTGTCCCACTGTTTTTCTCTCAGGTGCAGTCTCCAGCATTTAAGGCTGGCTGCAGACCAGCCCCTATGTATAGACAGAGAAGCCCCTGCCCCTGGAGGTTGCCTTGTCCCAGTAAGGACGAGCCCTTCAGGAGTGCTGTTTCTGGCCTGCGTATTCTCTTGCCACTTCTAGTGGGATCTTGCCTGTTGCGGGGGTCAGCCCAAACCCTGTACAGCAGTCATTGGCGTGCAGGGGCAATGCAGAACCAAGCCCTTCCTGCCTGCTAGGATGCCTGCAAGCCTGTGGGTGAATGAACTTTTATTTATTTTTTTTAGCTCACATTATTTTAAATGTTATGGGAGATCATAAAACTTTCCAACCTTTTAAGGACACCCAGTCACAGTCCTCATGCTCACAGCTTCCCACAGCAGTAAACTGCAGGGACAGACTGAGCGCTGCTGTGAAGGTTTCCTTTTATTTGTTCTAAGTTTGCCTTCCTTGAACTTAATAGCATGAGACCTCATTCAAGCAGGAAGGGCCAACAGATGCTCACTGCTGGTACCTACCAATGGAGGTGGTGCTGTTTGGCTCCAGGGTTGCCAAAAGCACTTCTCATGCATAAAACATGATTTTGAAAAGAATGCAGTGCACATTGCTGGACTGGGAGCTGTCTCATCTAATCTTTGATTATCTCCATTCTCAATGGTCCCATGAGTATCTAGATGCCAGAGAATGTCAGCTCTGAACATCAAAAGCCCTGTTACATTACAGCGCAGATGGGAGGAATGCCAACTAAACTGCCCTTATGCCCTCTTCTCTGCTGGGTTGAACTGCCTTTCAAGAAGAAAGGGTAGTTTGGTCTGCCTCTGTTTCTTCAGTCCTGTACAAAGACTGTTGGGAGGAGTTGATAACTAGTTCCAGTGCCTACGTTTCATGCTGTGGATGGCAATCAACAAGGTACCAACCAGACCTTCAGATGATGATACCACTGAGCAGCCATGAGATGACTGCACTTTACCATCACTACTGAACTGGGCTACAATGCACTGAGTCATGAACTAAAAGACTGAATTCTGTTAGCAGTCCCTAAGCCCTCCCAGTCAGAGTAGTACTCATCCTCTCACTTTCACCAGTATAGATCTGGAGCAATTCCTATTCAAAGGATTTGTTTAAACGCCGCACTTTTTAAGAAATTAGAATGTGCTTTTACACATCAGCAGCAGCTGCCACTTCAGGGAGAAAAAAAGCCTTTTTTTTGGTTTGCTTTGTGCATTAACCAGAAAAAGACACACTTGGTTTAATCCAGAACATCCAATAAACCTATCTCACTGTGTGAGATAGTTTGAATTGGTGACAGCAAAGTAAAACAGAATAGAAGATCATTCAAATATTCTTAGATGATTTCTCCATTTTGTAACGGGTTGTCTTCACAAGTGAAATCTACTGCCATAACAATTGCAAAGTAAAGTATTCAACCATGGCTGGCCCAGAATAGTTCCATGGGTGGATACTCCAAAACAAGAGTGTTTGCAGAGGGCACTTTTCTGGAATAGGTATTGTACTTTAAATCCACACGGTACTTTATGCCAGAATAATTTCCCCAAGTGGGAAAGCTGTAAGGAAGAGTGACTGTTGATATTAGGCAAAAGCAGTGTCATTGCAAGCATTGATGTCATCTAAGTTTATTATTCATCAAAGTTGCGTGAGGTTAGGGAGAGCAATATGGCAAACATTCATCATGTTAATAGGATTTATTTTAATCAGACAGATCATTCACTAGTAGATGCTATTTGTGTTAATGGGATATTATAGGGACTGTAGTTTCTCCAAGTGTTCTATTTGCCATCATTGGGGTAATCACATAGATTGCATAGACATTAGGGCTGGAAGGGACCTTGCGAGATCATTGGGTCTAGCCCCTTGCCCAAGATAAGCATCCAAGTGTTTCTTAAAGGTATCCAGAGTAGGTGCTTGCACCACTTCTCGGGAGGGAAGAGGGGAGGGCATCTCTTCCAGACTCTGGAGACTCATACGATAAAGAAGTTTTTCCTTATGTCCAGTCTGAAACAGTCTTCCAGCAGTTTGTGACTGTTAGACCCTGTCTTCCCTTGGGGTGCCCTGGTGAACTGATGTTCTCCCAAATCCTGATGCACACCCCTTATATACTTACAGGGTGCCACCAAGTAATCCCTGAGCCTTTGCTTCTCTAGGTGGAAGAGTCCCAGGCCTCTCAGCCTCTTCTCATAAGACCTGTTCTCTTGACCTCTAATAATGCGTGTGACTCTCCTCTGGACTCAACCAAGCTTCTCCACATCCTTTCTAAAGTGTGGAGCCCAGAATTGGATGCAGTACTACAGCTGCAGCTTCACCAAGGCTGAGTAAAGCAGGAGGATGACTTCCTGGGTCTTGCTTGAGATGCATTGGCAGATGCAAGCCAGAATTTTATTTGCTTTGCCAGCTGCGGCATCGCATTGGTGGCTCATGTTCATGTTGTGGTCAGTCATGACCCCCACATCTCTTTTGGTCATGGTGCTAGTGAGTGTAGCACTACCGAGCCTATAAGCATGATGTGGATTTTTTCTCCTGAGGTGGAGCACCTTGCATTTCTCTGTGTTGAATATCATCAGGTTTTGATCCGCCCACCTTGTGAGCCTGTCCAGATTGGCCTGAATTGCCAGCCTATCCTCTAGTGTGACTGCACTTCCCCATAATTTGATACCTTGCATATCCCAGTAAGATCAAATTTCTGCTTTGTTGTTACTAGATGGCAGTTTTTCTGATGCCACATTGCTGTTTCTGGTTGAACATACTGAATAGGGTTGATCCCCTTTATTAAGTGTTTTACTGCCTACTTTTTCAAGTATCATAGTATGACTGATTAGTAACCCATTTATTCATAGGGGGATTTATAAGCCTACCTAAAGAGCACTGTCACCACAACACTTGCACAAACCTGTGGCCATATAATTAATTTCTCTCTTAAAGTCTTGTATGAGTTATGGTTGGTAGGAGAGCATTTAATTACAGTCTTGTATTGATGTCCAGATACTATTTAATGCTGACATGATTGGAACAATTCACTGGAATTTCCTCTTTCAGATTTAAATATAAGGGAAATAACTATCTATATAAACATTGCTGTCTCATGCCCTTGTAATCATCTTTCTCTTGTGGCATATAATTTTTCATCAGGCCTCCTAGCTGCTATTTCTGTTACAACGCACTTTCTGCACATGGAGCTTGCCTCTTTGAGCAAACTAGTCAGTCTTGTGTAAACCATACATTTCAGTGCCTCAGTTAATTTAAATGTTTAATATTAAAGAGTGCCATTGTGGCACCCTGGCTGACAGTGAGTAGTACCAGGCTAC